GAGCCTCACTAGAACTTCTGTTCTACATACCTACACAGCAGAACCAGAACCATTTTCTGCTTTTTAGGCTAAGATTTCTGCAGAATGTACCTTGCCGAGCCTGCCTCTGTTAAGCCAGGTTGATGTAATTACATTGTATTCTACTTGTATTTAACTACATTGTATACAATACTGAGAAAAGTGTCAGAAATATAACTGAAGCAAAAGGCAAATGGTTGCTTACTCAGCAATATATTGTTACAGGCCACTTATTACTTATATTATCCAAGGAATGCACTAGTTAAACATTCATTCCAGTTGTGATGAAAGGCACCGCATTTTGGTCTACAGATGTGTCTGAACTTTAGTCCTTCTACTCTTACAAATATTGTCTTTCATGTTTTAGCCTGGCACTTCAAGTCAACTAAGTCTGCTAAAGCATCTGCTTGCAGGGATCTAGCAACTCCCAAATTCATTGACCGACTCGGTAGACCATGTAGTAAATTTGGTGTTTTCTCCCTTTTTTTTTTTTTTTTTACTGAAGGTGACAAATGAAAACAGGGTAGATCTGAATTGACTATGATTCCTTTGGGAAAGGAAAGGTCTGTAACACAGGTCAGCTTAAATCTCTATTTTTAAACAAAATATATTTAGCTGCAAAATGGACTTCAATTTTGAGCAGAACTAGTACATTTAAGAAGAACAGAAATAGACTCATTAAATGTTAACTTCTGATTCTCAAAAAATCTTTGCACCACACTACCCAGAAATGACTTATGAAATGTATTAACTCGACTTTCCACAAAAAGCAATTGCTTCTTTCCCCTTTAGCATGCTGGCATTCATCAAGGCTTTCAGTACACTCACTGTGCAACAATATACATTCGATATTTGTTATAATTTGTTGTCCAAATAATTTAACCAAGGCACAAATCAAGTCAAGGCTAAAATCCAAACTAAAAGCCCTGTGCTGCAAATGGGCAGGGGGAAATGTTAGTTTTCTTAAAGAGGCTGACTCACAGCAGTGGTCAGGTAAAGAGGCCTCTGAACCCTTCTCTCATTGCTGCTATAAACAGTGCCAGGAAATACTTGTGTGGTCTAAAGGTTGCCTCAACTACTAGTCCTAGAGTGCAAAAGTAAAAGTGCAGAACTGCAGCGATTACTGCCCGGATCTCAGACTTACTTGTGGGAGACTTCCTTCCCTTCCCTCTCACTGTATGAAGGACAAGGTCGCTCCTTTTGCTGATTTCTCATGTCAGAGGACACAGCTGTCCAGCTGTCTCTTGAAAACTTAGGGAATCTCAGAAAGACTACCAAAGTAAAGGTGACTCTGAGCAGTGGAAATCTTCTGAGGTTTCACCTAATGTTTTGGTTCAAGTTCTCTGCTCCATTCACATTATTCTCCAGTGCCAGTGTGCCCTAGCTCTAGAATGATTTAAACTGGCTGTTGAATCCACTTACCAGTCCCCTCTGATCTTCTTCTTCCCACTTATTATACCAGTGGGGATTTGCTTTCCTTACCAGGGACATCACAGAGTGGAGGGACACCTAAAAGAACCCTTCTTTAACTTTGATCCTTCTAAGAAATTTCAATACTTGCTATGACTTAGTGCAACAAGCAGATTTTATCATGTCTTTGTGATAGCACAGGGGTAATCAGTTTACACAGAGCTGCTGCAGGATCAAATGAGTTCAAACCTGAACTGTAAACAACTTGCTTACATGTTGTTATCATGCCCTGGCTCTGCCCTAGTGCATTTTACTGCACTGAGGATCTGTCCCATACTTTCATGTTTCCAACACCTGAGGCAGGAGAAGTAGAGCTGCAGTTTCAGATACCTCGCTTCAACCAAATGGAACTGTGCTATAACGAAATATTCATGCTTCATGGAATTTTTTACCTACTAAGAACAAAGAGGTCTCTTTAGGCTAAGGCCTACCTTTATAGTTTTCTACACGTCAGGAGGGCTGGAAACAACCACCTTTGCCAAGTCTTGCTCACTGCCAGCTGTTCATCTTGGACCAGGCAATATCACTTCTACCCCTGAACACTGAGGTTAAGGCTTCTTTCTTTGTCTCTCCTCTATAGACCTCTTAATTTCCTAAATAACAGCATGTTAAAAGTGATTATGACTATCAATATTTACTTTTTGATAAGTGCTGCAGCGCGTCACTGTAATGGATTCCCCACACCCTCGGAAGCCTGTCAGTAGCCTAGCTAGTTGGTACGACCAGTTTTTAAGAGAATTCTTCTGTAGCCTCCAACATAGCTTCAGCTTTGGATATTCCAAGACTTCTTTGCAATACCTAAACCAAAGAACCTATGCTGAAACCTTTACCCTCTAAGAAACTACATTAAATTTTTTACCCTTTTATTCCCTGGCTCATATGAGTTTTAATCAGTTTCATCCTTTCAGGACTGAGAAAAAATTTAAATTAAGGGGGAAAAAATGCAAAGGAAAGTCACATGTCATTGTTTTAAATTATAATCACCATTTTTGGTTAAGTATTTATATCTCCTGTTACACTTAGTAAATGTTAAGAATTTTTCTCTTCTTCCAGATTTGTAAATCTCTTGATCTCAAAAAGGTTGCCATTTGCTTATAAATATGTGCAGACTCTTTGATCTGCTGCTTTGCTGGTCTTACTTAAAAAATGAATAGTTTTCTTTTATCTGTCATTTTTACTAGATTTCATCTTCACAAGGATGGTTTGAATCCAAATAATTTGGATTGGTTTTTATTATAACGTTTATTATTGAAAGCACATAAATCTGAGTTCTGTTCCCTGAATTGTAGAAAGAGAACTACATGCTGCCTGCAAGAGAGTGTTTAAACCTAATAAAAGAAAAATACACACTGACAAAACATTGGACCTGGGTAGCTTGAAATGGATATAAAAAGGGTTTGCTATTTTATACATTTGTTGAGATGCCAGCTTCTGAGAGGAATTATATTTGTTTAGCAAAGTGCAAACAAAAAAACCCCCAAAACTCACCTTTCTATGCAACAAAACACACATTACTTCTTTGAAAAAACTTTCTAAAAAATACACTTTAAAAGGGAGAGCAAAATGGTCATCTTTATGATGACAAAATCTAACCAACTAAAAGATAAGCATTTAAATAATTTCTGTCACTCATTGTATTGGAGATACTTGATAAAAGAAACTATGCAGACCATTCTACTTGAACAGAAAAGAATATCCACTGTATTATAACAAGAATAACATCTAAGCTGAAGTAAGGCAGTCTCTCAGTAAGGGACAATTTCCTAACTATGAAGAAAACTAGACAGAAATGTATTTGTGTATAAGTCTGTAAATGCATGCAAACATTATTTTCTGTCATCTGACATTTAAATTGTGTTCGGGAATTTTTATAAGATTGCTTTCATCTACTTCTTACAAAAATTTATTCAGCATGTCTCCACAAGGATAGCGTTGGTTTTGATAACCATGGCAGTTTTTGCTAGTCCCAAGTGCCCCTACTTCTTCACTCTATTCACAGCCTGTGAGAGGAATACAGAGATGCATCAACTTGCTTGATTCATATGCTCCAAGCTCAATATGAGAACAACAAAAATTAAATGTCAATTGGTTGTTCAGAAAGGCTCGGAATTCACTGCTCTCATATGCTAAGGAGCATATGAGATTGACTTCTTTTCACTGTAGTCTCAGGGAATGGCCGTCACCAGGACCCAATTTCCTGGCTGGGATACAGCAGCAACCTGAAGCAGCACAGACAACCTGCACTCTGTTGCCTGGGAGGAATGTCTTACTGGCATGTGCAGGTCCGGTTTGACAGATTTGAAAGTATAAAAGAATTTCACCCTGTGGTCAGATTGGCATAAATCTTTCAAGGCATTTTAAAGTCTTCCTGAAAGCCTTGAGTGCGATTCATCTGCTAGGTTCATATGGATTTAATTCATGTAATCTATTCCTTGTAGCTGCTTGCTGCAGCCTCAGGCACTGTCGGGGCTTTGGTCTCTGCTTTTCACTGCCTGCGGTATACAATTCAGTCTTGTAAATGCTTTGATATAATTAAGATCCTCAGGCCTGATGTGGGATACATGGGTGAGTCCTGACAACATATGCAGTGCAGGAGAGATGAGGTTAGGAGGCCTGGGGGCTCTAAGACTCCATAAGATTAGCAACAGGATTTTTGGCCCAGGTCACCCTACAGAGAGTAAGTTTAAGAATGCCCAGTGCTTCCTAAATTAGCAACTCCCCAAGTCATTAAAATTAGAAATACATTGTTTGCTGGTTGAAAGAGCTAAGAAATGTTCATGCCCTATTACAATCCCCAAAGGAATCAAACACAAACTGGAATTTTAAAAGGCAAGATTAAACTAGCAAGTAACACCCTGTGAACTGTGGTGGGTCTGCTGATGCTGACCAGCAGCTTGAGCTACAAAGGTAGGGTGAACAACAAGGGTGCCAATTTTGTTCAAGTTTCCCTTTCCCACTCCTCAGAGCCCTGCAGATGCTCAAAATCCTTTATGTCATATATCTGTTTTAAAAGAAACAAGGAACAACATCACCAAGAAGTTCGAAGGTATCATTCTGTTTTGCAGAGCTCAAACATATGTGTTTTCTGAACAAAAATAAACAAAAACATCTAAGACATATTTTCACCAAAAATCTTTTTGGAAAGAGAATTCACTCCAAGTTTTACTGCTGGTTCAAAAAGTGTTAAGCAGCAGTGAATCAACCCTTGCAGTAACCATTTAAAATAAATTAAAATACTGCTGAGATCACAGAACTTTGACAAAGTTGAATTTCAAAGATGAATTTTTAGTTAAAGCAAAAGCTTTTGTGAAACTTTGAGTAAACTTTGAGCCATTTCTCACTAAAACTGGCTCTAAGTAGCCACAATTTGTGAGGAAAGTAATCAATATAATCTTTTCGGAAAAGGATATTTTGCCTTTCTTGTATTGAAAAGTATAAACCACACCTAAGAAATGCAGCTGGAAATACAGACCTTACCTGAGAAATGTAAATTTTTTTCTGTCCTTTTTCAGAACTGCTTAAGCAGAGCAGAAGCAAGGCGAGATGCTGCAAAAGTGGCTTTGATCAATTCTCTCTTCAATGAGCTGCCTTGTCGCAGGATCACAAAGGACTTCATCATGGAAAGCATTCGGGAGGCTGTTTCCTCAACCAGTGTAAGCGCAAAACACTTAAAGGGTTTGCTATCAATGCAAGTTTGGAGATTATGAATAAACACCTTGGATGAGATTATTAGAATCTCTGCAACTGTATCTTCACTGCTAATCCAATTAACTCAGAGTTGGCTTGCTTCTCTACTATATGGCCTGGCACCAGTTTAAAAGAGCCAAGGGTTAAATAGCATCAGTGAGTTGGATACAGCTCATAAAGCTGACTCCTGCAACCTGCCCTTGCTGTCCAGTGGTGCAAATGTGCCATGGAGATCAGGTAACTAGCTAATATGTACATTGTTGCACCATCAGATTCAGGGAAATAAATAAAATTGGAGGAACTCGACCTTTAAGAAAACAGACAGTTTTTCTGCTATGCCAGCTGGTGGGTCCATGCTTTTATTTTATTATTATTTTTTTTTTACAAAAAATTTGGGAAGATTTTGAGAAGGCTAATGTGCAACCTTCTCAGTTATAAGTGGCCACTTCAGAAATGACCACACTCCAAATATCAGTGACTCTTTCTTTCTTCTTAGGCATCATACATAAGCAAAAACTACTTGGAAAACATAATTAAATACTTATCATTACCAAATAGTTTTAGGGTTATGTTTCCATTTATACTAATAATCACTAATATAGTCTTGTAAAATTCTGCTTGTCCATAACTAGTAGATTTTCCTTCAGATGACAAATAAAACTCAAGGTTTTAGTGGTTTTTGACCATTGTTCTAGTAAAGATTGTCCAAAGCAATTTTGTTCTTAAAAAAGTGGTAGTTTTGGTAGTCCACAAGGCTCCGTTAATCCTTTGAAGTTTTGTAGGTTTGTTTTCTCTGCAGTTAATAACCAGATAAAGTATTGATAATTCAGAACAGTACTACATGACAAATATTATCTTAGAGAATAAATAACCCTTGTAAATGAAAGTGCTAATTCACTAAAAGGCAGGTATCTCAGACTGAGGAGAGCTTAACTGAGGTCCTCTTATATTCACAGAACCACGTGCAGGAGTTTTGATAAGTGTGGAATGCATTTTAAGTAATTTAGAAATATTACCGCTTCCTTGTATTTTGTGAGATAATCTGCAGTGTTCACTTTTCAAGTAATAAGCTTTGTACCCCCTTCGTAAGATATATTGAGAAGGAGGATGTAGAAACAGAGAAGCATAGGAGAAGGAGGTCTGGTCAATATCTGTTGTGTGGGTGCAATAAGGGTTTTCTTTTCCAGCACTGTGAATTTTATACATTTGGAGGAAAAAAAAATCCATAAAAGTTAAGAAAAATAGAGCATGATTTATTTGTGTGTGAAATTTAAAAGGAGTTTTGATTTGAGTAATTTATCATTTTTTATGGAAATTTTTGAGGTAAAAGGGTATACACATTGCAGAGTTCTGGTTGGATTTCCTCAGGGATATTTAAAAGCTAACATAAATATTTCAGCAGCAGTGTGTTAATGCTACAGCATTCAAAAGCTATAAATTTAGTAGCAGTTCAGCAGAACCATACTGGGTAGAAATCTGTTCAACTTTGTGAAGTTGCCATTGAACACCTCAGGTTATGCAGAGGAATTTGTTCAAAATTGTCTCATGTTTCTTTCCTAGGTGTACCTACTCTTACCCTCCCCAAAGAAAAGGGAGGGGAGGCAGTGAATTTAAGTGAAATTCAGCCCCTTGTTATAATGGCTAGTTCCTGCAGCTTGGGGATTCCACTGAAAAAGCAAATGCAAAATCCTGGAGCATGTCACTACGCTTCAGCGCGGTGGCCACAGATGCACTTTGTGAAATGTACTCATTACCACAGATACACTCTATAAGACTTAAAACCCACACAGTCGGCATTTAAGTACTGTGGTGATAAGTCTGCAACTGGACAGAACTGATTTAACGATCTTTTCTGGAGATACATCTCAAATAATTACACTTTAGAGTTTAGAGGGAGGAGCGAGAGTACTGAGGGATTAGTAAAACTTGAAAGTGAGAGATAGGCTCTTCTAACATTAGAGGCCTGGGACACTCAAAATCAACTAAAAGGCAGCAGAGCATTAACACAGAAATATTTAATAATTCTAAGCCATCAATCAGTGTCAGCTGAACTCTGAACTGCTTGGGAGAGATTTTGAAAAAGTTGAAAAGTATGGCTAGATAGAAAAGAGGGCACTTAGAGCATGAAATGAGGGGTATATCAGATAAACCAGCAGCAAGTAAGATCTGCATGGAGGCCAGGTAAGAGACTTGAGCAAGGCTCTAGATCGCTTAGTGCTTACTAAAATGCAGAAAATAAGAGATTAAAGTATTTTTAGTTTACCCTATAACACCTTCCCAGTAATCAACAACTCATTAGCAACTTGGCTTTCTCATTTTCCTTCACTCTATCAAGATTGGCATACATCCTAAGGCACAACCAGGTTTAAGGATTATTTTTAAGGATAAAGAAACCAAAGTTTACTGGTTGTCATAACCAACTCAGAGTGATCAGTTGGCCCAAAATAAGCTGGTAAAATGAATAATTGCCAAGATAACTGTGACTCCTAGAACAGCATCTCAGAAGCAGTAATAAAACACATGCATAACTGTAAGAAATACTGCACAACATAAACCAACCACTCCCATTCTAACCACACCATCTCATTTCTTCTCTAAGGGTAACTTCAAGGATGCTGATGACCCAAGCACTAGTATTGGAGCCTATCACTACATGCTGGAGTCAAACATTGGAAAGACAATGCTGGAATTTCAGGTATAACAACAAATAAAGCCTCTGATTTATTCACTTTTGAAAGAAGTAACTTATTTTTGTGATTAATATCTAATAGAAATTGTGGTATTTAAGGTAAGTAGTGGGGAGGCTGTGATGATGCAGAATGACAAAAAGATGGATTCACATGGTAACGGAGTCATTACAGGCTAACTTCTCAACTCCTCTATAGTAATAAGTAGAATGAAAACACTTTGTAACCACAGCATTAGAAAACTGATACAGCTACTTTCCCTCCTGACTACTAACACCTGCTCAAATGTGCTCTCCACAGTGCTGCACTTACATGATAATTTGATAAAATAGTTTGGCTTCTTTGATTCCAATTCCTAATGCAAATCTCAAGCTCAATCTAGGCTACTGGAGAAAATTCTGCAGGTAATAATCTTGCACTGGGCTGGTACATCCTAAACAGAGTGTGACTTTCTGTTCTGGTATTTCAAAGAAATTCTAAAACACAGTACTGAACACGGGTACTCACGGTGTCAAGTGGGACATGTCCGAGGACAAATACTCTTCTTAAAACATGGGTCATCTTGGCAGGATGGTAAGCATGGTCTGCCGGGGCCTTTTCAAAATTTCACTGCAGTCAAAAAAGTTTGAGTCATCCCCTCAGGCAACTGATATGTAGAGCGATATATTGAGGCACTAGTGAAATCTTCAGGCAGCTGTTTGTTTGCAGCTTTCTGAATAACCAAGTCATATTTAAAACCTTCTTCCATAAACAGTTTTCTCATATAGATAGCAAAATAGATTCACATATTTCTGAGTCAATGTTTCTGCTTTTCTGCCATACGATGAAGTGTGAATTGGAGCAATGTCATATAAATCTCCAAATACCCCAGTAGAGCACGGGTTTGGGTTTTTGTTAATGAATAACATCAGTTTATTGGATGTAGGTGTTGTGTTTTTGGGAGCACTCTGCTTCACCACATTGGTGCAAGTAGCACATGCCCACATGTAAGTATCAAATTAGTGGAAAGGGGAAGCATCTTTGGGAATGTAACCTGTGTATTCCTAGAGCACACCCATTTTGAACTGCATGGACCCAGAGCTGGGCATTTTGGCTGAGCTAACACAATGGCATTTGTCTAACAGACTAAAAGAAGAGATAGGGATGAGAGCATCAGTGAAGAAATTACCCTACTTATTCATAAACGATGACACTGTGCTGGAACCAACAAGCTTTTAGTATTGCTTCCATGGTCTATATTTGGTCCTTTTGGTGCCTGACCTCACCTTATTTTCTAAACCCAAGATACACTTAACCATAGAAGGAAACCAAAACTCTTAAAATCAGTCATTGAGAAAGAACACTCTCAAAATGCAGAAATATTTAAAAGAGTAAGGCTCTTTAACCTATAAGCAGAGAGATCTTGGAAATAAAAGATGGCTACAATCCATCTATTAACTAAAACATCACAATTAAAATGTAAAGACTTTTCTTCCTCACTTTGAGGAGTGACTGAAGAAGACTTAGCAGCTGGCCCAAAATCCCCGAAGTAACTACCGTGGCAAATGATTGAGAAGTCTTCTTAACAGGAGAGAGTGATATCTACTGAAGAGCTGTTAAAAACCAACAGGAAGAACTAACATAATAGGTTTTCACAAATGAGAAAATTAGAAGGGGGACTGAACATGTTTGTGCTACTGTCCCTAAACTACTGAGTTTCCATGATTATTTTCATGTGTCTCAAGGTCCAGCCCACGTACTGCTGCAGCAGCAAATGGAAATGTTAAAAATTACAAAGGGAGGAGTTGCCAAGCTAAATGTGGACTGAAAAGCATAGTGTTGGGATTCTCACTCCGTAATCAGAGGCATTGAAAGGGGAGTGTGAGAACTATTTATACACAGGATTTTGCAAATTTCCCTGCGATGAGTTACGTTCTATTATCTGCCTTTTGAAATGCGAATATTAGGACATTTAATTTCAAAATAAACACAATGGTTACTGATTTCTTTTACTAATATTGAATGACCAAAAATCAAGTGCAAGAGAATAACAGCATGAGACAACACGGCTTTTGAATCCCAAGCAAAATCTACCACACTCTTCAGCTTGAAGCCTCCAATCATGTAGCACATCCTTTTGGCTTCCTTTTTTCGCTAGAGATGAGTCACTCCATGTTTTTGGGAACTTTGGATTTGATTTTGTAGTGTTGAGTGTCATAAGGACATCAGTAACAACGTTTCTGGTACAAAATCTTTACCTGGAGTAAAAAGAAATTCTCATGGTGACACTTCATCCTCATTTCATTCATCAATCTAATCATGATACATACTATGAATTGATTACCGCTGTATATGCACCAAATTAAAGGGCTGTATTATCTGTTAGGGGTAGTAAGCACACTGCAGAATCTCATCTTTCAGGCAGCAGAATTGCTTAGTGCAAGTTCTTACTCTGTTTACCAGGCCATTTGATGCATTTCCTAAATTTTGCCACCTAAAATGGAGATAAAATTCCATATATTACATGCACAGTCTCCTTCACAAGCTGAAAAGAATAAGGCAGCCATGCTCATGACAAAGATCACTAGCTAAATACTCATGAAAAAAAAAAAAATGGAACTGAGGAATCTAGCTGAACACCCAGTCAAGCAAACCACAGCTTACAACACAAGTAAAGGTCTATGACTTCTATGGAATGTAGTATATATGCAATGTAGTATCATTTTCTGATTCCTCAGAAAATTCTTCTGACCTCTGCTTTGTCACAGGATTCCAAATTTACTCAATATTAACACATAGGTACAAGACAAGGGCAGTACACCAACATTTTTGTTCAAAAAAAAGAAAAACAAATGGACCTCAGAAAAGAAACTTAAATTTACTCTTTATTCATCCCACTTTGTAGCAAGGATTTGGGCTGCACTACAGGCTGCAAAAAACCCTGTCTCCTACTGAATTAGTCTTCTTCTCCCTCCCTTTCTTCTGTTCAAAGCACAAAACTTGTGGGCATCTCACACTCAGACACCAACTCCATAGTTTGGCAGTCGGGCAGGTACGGATGCAGCAAGGCCCAAGAAGGGGCTGTTTGGGGCAGCAGAGGTGCACGCAGCTTCAGAGGGTAAATTCCTGTCCCCTCAGCTCTCCCCACTTGCTGCTGCCATTATCCAAACCCTTCACAGGGCCTTGGCACCATGCAACCAGGATGCTTTTAGAAACATTCCCATTTTTAGAACAGGAAAATGCTAGAAGTCCAAAATGTTGCAAGATGAGAAAAACATTTCCAGCCAAACTGCACTTGGGAATATTCCCAATGTAATAAATATCCAGACAAGGATCTAGTTCAGCACAAATATGCACAGTGTCATCTAAAGGTACTTGCTGACCCATTAAAATGCATCAATCACATTTCAGCTGAAACAGCTGCATCATTTTGTGTTCCGCAGAAGTCCTAAACACTTAGAGCTGCCAGCTTCAGCTGCATTTAAATAAAACCAAATACAATGCTAATCCGTAATAATTCTTTTTATGGCCACTGGATGTCTGCCCCAAAACCAACATTCTGTTAGGGAAATTGCCTGCTGAATAACAGCCACTCATATGCAGGTCCATTTTTATGTGTAAAGATACTTATATAACCTAGTGATGACTTTCTTTGCTTGTTTGGTTTGTTTTTTCTTTGCATGTTGCCCTACACAATTCAATCATTGAAATGATTAACACTGATGATATAACGATTTGGGCACAGATTTTAGATTACTTTCAGGTATCGCTGCAAATGGACTAAGCTTTTTTTATGTTGTGCTGCATATATATCTTCATCAAGGATAGAAAGCAAGTGCTTTGAAATCTGCTGTGCTAGTAGTATGCAAAATGACAGAAAAGAAACACAGTCTGGGCACCAAAATTTCACAAGTATCCTGGACATTACTATCGGATTGTCAAAAACCTCTGGATACCCCATCACTGTGGCTAGAGACAAGGTTGTAATGGTCACATAGTGGCAAATAAGGGCTTCTTTACAAATCAATCTTAACTCTGTATTATTCAGAATATGAATATTATGCAGTACTCATGCATTTTCTATTTGCTTTGAAAGGGAAAATGCTAGCTTCCAGCTGGCTATCCATATGCCTTTCATTATATGTCTTAATGTGATTAGGATCAATTTTGTTTCTTTATGTCATCACCTTTAAACACCATATCTGCCCTATTTCTTTTTTTCTTCTAAGAGCAAAGGTGTGGCTTTTGAAGATTTCAATCAGTAACCAGCATGCTCTGATTCTTCCAGGAGCTGATGATCATCTTCCAGCTTTTGCATTGGAATGGCAGCCTCAAAGCGCTACGCGAAACAAAGTGCTCCCGGCAGGTAGGACACTGCATCAAAAACTTGGCACATGAGTCAGTGGTTAACTGCCTAGGAGGAAAATACTCAAAAGATTTTTTTGAAGGTCTAAATGAATTTGCTCCTCCTTTATTTGAATTTATAACAGATGAGGTTAAGTTTTGAAACAGATTTAAGTTTTCTGCATTTATCTTTTGCTATCAGTGCAGATATTACACAGTTCTATCTATCAAGAAAAGCAGAAAATTCACTTGAGAAAAAATGTAATGACAGCATTTTTCTCTTCTAGTTTTGTGAAAAATATTAGAAATGTTCTAAGCTGAACAATTTCAAGGTATTTTTAACCCCCTTCAATTATGCTTTATTATATTCTACAGATAATTTACGCATTCTGAGTTGCTCAAAGGGAAACAAAACTCAATTTCAGCATTTAAATTGCTGCTTCTCTTCAAGAGATGTCTTCATATGCAGAAGATGCATTTAATTTTAGCTTAACTTTTAAAATATTTTATAAAAGAGTTCAAAATCTAAGGGGCATTTTATTTCCTTTCAGTGTGCAGTATAAAAGACATACAAGATTACAAAAGGGTTATGCTTTAAGCTTTGCCCAGACATTAATGTTTTAGCAAAAAAAAAAAAAAAAAAAAATCAGGGATGAATTTTTTAGTAAAACACAAAACAAAGAGGAAAAAAAAAAGAGTATGTTACTAACTTCCATGTTGTTTCTCACTTTCCTGAATAACAGGAAGTAATTTCCTACTACTCCCAGTATTCCTTAGATGAAAGGATGAGAAGTCATATGGCCCTGGACTGGATTACGAAGGAGCAAGAATCTCCAGGAATTATTTCTCAAGAGCTGCAAGTGGCACTTAGAGAACTGGAAGAAGCCAGGAAAGCTGGGCAGGAGTTGAGGTTTTACAAGGAAAAAAAAGAAATATTAAGCTTAGCACTAAGTCAGATCTACAGTGATCAAGCTACCTCTTTCTCACAGGATGATCAAATGGGCTTAGCCCTGCATGGCTACCACTAACCTTGAAGGAGGTGTTTGATGTTGAAGGATAACATGCATGCTCTTCTCTGTTGAAAAGGCCACATGAATAAACTGGTAACATTCTTTTCACTGACGGTTTACTTTCTGTATCTAGAAACTTGACATCTTTCTTCTTTTAAATTTTCATTTTGATGGACAGAAACTAGGAGTCAATGAAGTATTGCTACTGTACTATACTAAGCCATAAAGGGAAAAAAAAAAAAAAAAAAAAAATGAAAACTCTCATGGCACTCTGGAAATTGAGAGGTTGTTTTGCACAAAGGCTGTCTTCATTTTCCTTGACAAACATGTAAAAGCTATGATGAGAAATTTACAGCCTGCTTGCAGTAAGAAACAAAAGGAATCCTGCTTCCTCCTGGCAGCGCTAGCAGGTGCCACGGCTGAAGCACCCTTGGTCTGTTGGCACTCAAGGGCAGGAGCAGCCTTCCCAGCTGAAAAGCTGCACCACACAACTATTGCTCCAAATTTCACCTGTTTCCATCTCCGCTGAAGCCAAGCAAGATGTTGCAAAGGTGTAGGAGTATAAATGATTAAAATTTTAAGATTGGTCATGTTCTGCCTAGGACAAATACAGATTCTGTGAGACCATAGTTCTGTTATGACTTCAGAAACTTGCCATGCTCTGACTCTGTTGTCAAGTCAGATCTTTCACCAGGAGAGATTTCTCTCTCTCTTCCCATTCATAGGAGAGATGTCCACATGCACTGAAGCAGAGAGCTTCTGAGCTTTAAGCTGCTCTCTTCCCCCATGCTGTCAGCCCCATCTTCTGCTAGAAGTTACCAGCCCAGGAGCGGAGCGAGCAGCATGTGCCTGCATGCTGCACACACACACACTTGTCAGCTGCCATTCGAGCTGCTGCTGAAGGCAGAAATGTGCTAAGAAGCCAGACAAGGAATGTAGACACATTGCTTCTTGGTTCTTCTGCTCTCTAGTTGCTTCTGCAGGAATGAACGCCCACCAGAACTGTGGTTTAAATCATCTCAGTGACTTCAGCACTAACTTCTAACATTGTTAAAATATACTTTAAACATTATGAATTTCAACATTAAAAAGAAAGATACTACACCAGTTTTTCACCCATCTGGAGTTTCTAGTACTAGTGTGGACACAACTATGCTGCAATTCCAAAATAAAAGAGCCATAGGAACTGGTCAGCGAGAACAAGCCTGCTGCAAAACCATTCCCTTGCAGCCTCCCCACAGAGGCAGCAGCTGGCACCTTGTGAAGGTACCTGAGCTCTCTCAGGAGGGATGCGGGATGCTCCAGCAGGGCTCATGACCAGCACAGAGAGTGCCAAGTCACCCAAGGCACCCCAGGGCCCGCGGACAGCTGGAAGCAAAAAGGGAAAAAAGACAGACAGAAAGCACACTTTTGGAAACTCATTTCCAAAGGAGCCACTTCATTGGGCAGAAACAGCCAGTGCTGGATTTTTCTGTTGAGCACTGAGCTTCAATAGAAAGAAAGAAAAGAAAGCAGCCTCTTCAATAACCTGAGAGTGTCACGGACTTAAAGAAATATTGATATTTTGGATGAAAAACAGGTAGGATCTTGACGTGTGTAAGAAAGCTTTCTTTTTTTTTTCCCCGCTCTCTTTCAATTACTCATTAAAAGAGTATATGCTGCTGGCTGACTGTTCCTCAAAAAAACCCACACATTTTATATATTCTATATTAACCTTGAAAAGTGTTTTTTTCTCCTAATTTTTAATATTTTTAGTATTTAGTCTTCATCACTGTAAAAATGCTCTTCATTCAAGACATTTCAAATACGTAACAAGAAAGTGAGCATCATTTTTGTACAACATCACTAAGTTTTACATACTTCCCTGTGCATTTATGCTGAGTAATATAGGTAGGGGATGACTCCCATCAAGTGGTATCTAAAATATTTAAAATAGCAGATTTTAGAATACAGACACTAGAATAACTTGAATTGCTTTGATTTTTTCAGTTGTTGTTGATCAGATACAGAAATAAACAGTCTTGCCACAATGGAGTGACATTCCTTTCAGTGTTCAAATGCTTTCCTATTGGCTAGTTCAACTCCATGGATTTATACAGAAAGCAAGACTTGAAAGCAAAAACAAATGAAAATAAGTAGCAACCAAATCCTAGATCTCTTCGGGCTAATAGGAAAATACTTTTGGCTGGATTCAGCATGCCTAATGGCTTTCTGATGAGAATTCTGTACTGTAGCTCTAACCACCTACATTGTACCAGTCCACACCAGTCCACAGCCTACTGTTATAAGCTGAAATGCACTATGTCTTATCCTGAGCAGCACTAGTGTCTGGTTACATCATTTATCTCCTCACAACATTTCATTTCAATTACTCTACTTTGATCTTACACGCAGGACATAGGGAGCTGTCTATAAGTTCTGGAGTAGCTGATGTATGGAGACAGTCTATTGGACACCTTTCCACTATTTACATATGACAACACAGTGATTTGCCAGATGTTAGGCAGATATATACTCATCTTATTGTGCAACCACATAGTTCTTTCATTGGGACACTTGAGTAAGTGATGCTTTCACATTTTATAGATTTCAATTCCTGCTCAAGGCAGCTGGGAAGTAAAAGCCATTGTAGTAGGAACAAGAGGCCTCAAACATGTTGCCCTCTCTGCTCTTTTGCCTGAACTCTTTAGCCACCTGAGGAAAGAACAATAAACACATCTTTCAGCTTTTTCCATTACAGAGGAATAAATCTGTAGCAGGAGATTTAACTCTCTGAACAGAGTGAATTGCATGCAGTTAATTCAGAAGTGATGACAACAGTTGTTTGCTAAATAAATTGGTAGACAGACAAAACAAGAACCCCTTGACCCCTGATGCTCACTCCTATCAGAGGCAGTGTATCATTTACCTTGACAGAATCAGTAGGGAAGGTTCTGCCAAAATGATATTTTATATGTTGCTTGTTAAAGCTCAGCTTTCTTTTGCCTTCACACCATTAAAGAGAGGCTTAAGGAAGCTCTGCTTCTGGACAACTTTGTCCCAGGCAATGCTGTTCTTGTACACATTAAAACCTGGATTTGCAGGATTCAAGACAAGTGACCTTGGAGGGAAAAGAAAGCAAAAAGGAGTGTAGATATTACTACTCAGGATAAGATGAAGCGATTTCTTTCATCTTAAAGCTTAGCTCTGGTTTCAGTAAACCCCAGTTAGACCAATACTGACAGTATACGGTAAACAGTAAACTTCAGCAGCAGAATGAAAAAAGGTTGAACTTCAGAATGTGTCAGACATGACCTTTGAAAACAAAGCTTCCAGAAAGCAAATACCAGCTTTTTCTGTCTCTATTCAGATAGAAGTTCATTAATGTCACTTACAAATTCTCCCTCTTTGTAAGGGAAACACCCTGAAAAACTGATTGATGATCTCACATGAATGAAATCAAAACTCAGAAAGAATCTTATAACACAGAATCACAAAACCTGGAGCACAGGATATCTTCGTTCTCCAGGTCCTCTTTGTTGTTTTCTTGTCAGGGTATTTTTGAATTTAAAGGAACAGATAAATGGGAGAAGGTATGTAGCTTGTGAGTATTTTTATTGTTTTTGTATGTTCTTGTTGTATTAATCTTCAAATTACAGCCAAGCTTTAAAAGGACATATTAAGCCAGATTTCCACCCCCTCTTGTCACAGTAGTACCATGGTTACTAGATATAAGATATTAGCTTTTTATGTCTTGTGTAAACACAGTATTAGCTCTGTACTTAATATATATGTATCATGTTCATTTGTGACTTCTCTATAGTTTTGATTACCTCAATCACACCTCTTGTAAGCCGCAGGTATGAAGAAGCAGATAGTAAATGATACCTTTTAGATAGATAACATAGGTGAAAAAAAACAGGATTTTTTTTCTTTAAACTGAAGGGCATCTATCTTCACAGAATTCATGGATATGACAGCTATAAAAAGTTGTGGTGATGACTGAAAAAGAACATGCATGTTAGATGAATGTTGATACTGAAATACCTGAAATACCAACATCAGAGAGATAAGAGCTCTGCAAATTAAGAAGTTCAAAACATAAGGAGTCATTGTTGCCATAATAGCAATGCAGATACTAAAAAAATGTGTTACAAGATGCTACACAACAACATCCATATCAGGATAAGAGAAGAAAAAATTAGTAATAAATGTAATAGTAACAAATGAGTTAACTCATACATGGTTAACAACTGTTCATAGAGCTGTAAAAATCTAGCTGCCCAGTCCTCAAGAACCTGGAGTTCACTGTGGAAGACAGGCTATGACATATATCTAATACATGTCTCTACCTGTCTATATGTATGTAGATATATCCACACAACTATCTACCTTTCTTTGTCTGTGCAGTAGGTAAAATATGGGGACATGCAAATAAAAAGTTTCACATATTTTTGATCCTCAGCTGAATTGTTGATAACACTGCATGCAAACAGCATAACTTGTCTAAAAACATAAATCACCACATTTCACAGTGCCCTCAATAGGTCTCCTGAAGCGTTCTACAAATGGAGTCACAGAAGAATGAGATTTCCCTTGCAAACATTAGAATACTCAGCCACCCTCCTGCACTTTCTGACAGTTTCCTTCATGATTAGGTTATTCCCCTACAACAGGTTTTTTTTTTTTTTCATTCACTTAAACAACCAGCACAATTTCAGAATATTTGTTCTTAAATGCACAGCTTTATGGGCACTAAAACGAAATTCTTTTAGAAGCAGCAGCATATGTGTGCAGATGCTTAACACAGAAATAGCACTCCAGAATCATTTTTATCGTGAACCTTGCAGGCAACTTCCTGGTCTCTCTTAAAAACGACTTTGTTCATATTCATTTGCTTTCTTTATTTACGTTATAAAATGTCTTTCACCTCAAGACCCAAGGAAGGGAGAAAGCATAACCCTACAATGCATCTATGCTCATATTATGAGTCTACTTGCAGAGCAGATTGTCACACTGTTACTTGGTTTGCTTCTGAATCATTTTTTTGAATATGGTACAGTTGAAACAGTAATGACTGCGCCAAGTAATGCATATTTCAGTATACCTAGCCAGAAATTTCAGAA